TTGACAAAATGTGCAAAATTCTGATTTTTAAGAAAATTGTTGAACTAAAAGTTGTTTGCGATATCGATCTCTATAATTAATGTTTTTACATGATTTTTCTAAAATGGACCGTAATGGAAAAATTGGAGGAAAAGTGCTAAAATTAAATTTTTCAATATTTTCGTTTTCAATAGAAAAAGTTTCGAGATAGATGTATGTGGAAAATGTATATATTTAGTTTATCCTCTATTTATAGAGGTGCTGCAATAGGTTGTACAAAATAACCGGAAAAAGCCTATACTAACTAGATAGAAAAGTCATGTGTTGGACACATCAGATTTTTTCATGTAGGTAAATTCAAGTACAAGTAAATGCAAATACAAGAGAATTCAAGTTACCTTCCGATTTTAAATATTTATTGGTTTATAGTTTATTGGCATTTACTATATATTTGCCTGGTATGATGTTAACCAAAATTATTTTAAATTTTAAATTAACATTAAGTAGGTAGGGGTATCTAAATAAAACACTGTCCTAAAATTTTATTAACTAAAATTTTACTTAATTTTTTTTATGTTTAGTTATTAGTGTTATTACTTACTGCAATGTTTTTTTTGCAGCAAGTGGTGTTCCAAAAACAGTTGAATCAGAACTAAATACCCATACATATAGGTAATAAATAATGTTTAGAGGTAAAATTAATATTTTGTATTTTTACATGTTGGATAAGTCATCCAAAAATAGAAAGCCTCACCCGTCTGGGATTTGCATCTTTTCTGATATATTTAGCACCATTTGCACGTACCAAAACATCTTCAGGAAAAAAGTGTTCTGAACACAACTCTGGGTTTTTACGAAGGGGCTGATATTGAAGGATCCCTACTAGAGAAAACGAAAGTTTTCTTTTCTCAGGATCTTGCGGAAACCTAAATAGAATATTAAAGAATATGTATGTATATGTGCCTGATAGGTAAATCATTTTTAAGGTATTCTACATTTTACATTAAATTTTCTTTGCCGCTATTCAATAATTATATTTATTGGTATAAGAATACTTTACTAATTTATAAAAGGAATATCACTTTAAAAACTATTTTAAGACTGTTTTAGACTACACAAGTTTTTGATACAATTTCTTGTACAATTTAAATTGTATATTATCAAATCCGCAGTAAATTGAAAAATTAGATTGGATAATCATTTTTCAAACAATTTACTATTAGTGCAGGGCATAGTGGCGCATTCGTTTGCAAAATTGTTTTAATTTGTATTTTTTTTTAAAATGTCCGGAAGGCTTTCCTGATTATAAAAGTGTAAGATGACACTCGATATCTGTTGATGTTATTGTTTAAACAACGAAAAATTAATTAAGCCAGAAAAAATGCATTTTTTGCAGTGAATTATTTTTTTATGTTCTTTAGGATATTTCGAATAAAAAAAGTCCTTTCGCCCATCATCGTATCTTTAACCCTTTAATTGTTATGAATGTTTTAAAATCCGAAATTGACGAAAATTCTAATTTTCTTGAATTAAATAATATACCTTAAAATTTCAAATGCTATAATTTTAAATTTTTTACTGAATATTCAAACTATAATAAACAAAATAACCTAAATAAATTTTCAAAATTTTGTTTGTTGTTATGTTTTTTTTACGTTATAACAATATGCTTCCTACGCGCGTGTACTTTTAGAGAGAAGTACTTCTATCTCACTTCCAACTCAATGTATAAGATGGGTAAGAGAAAGCCCGATGACGCGCTGTATCAATTTTTTGCTGAGGTAATAAGTTTAAGAAAAATATTATTAACATTTTTCATAACACTTTGTTATATTTGCCGATTAATAGTTTTGTATCATGTAATTTTTTTACTTTTTTAGATACTTTTGATAACTTTTTTATTTAATAAAGTTAACAGAAACATTTATTTATAACATTTATTTTTATTCATGAAAAAATTATTGTCAGATACTGCCCCAGAAGTAAAATCTTCTTCAACCTTTTTTTTTCAATACGATAAAAAGGCCAAATGCAATTTCTACCTGTTAAAATGAACATAGTAGGCTTACTGGGGTTATAAAATTTTATGATTTCAAAAATATCCAAGTCTTTCTCCATTTAACAAAAATAAGGAAAAACAATTTTTCCATGCACGTCGGATGCTTTGAAATTGCATACTTTACGAGCTTCGTTTCAGACTTATTTGGAGGAATTCAAATCAATTTCTATATGAACCTTTAGATTTCTCTGGTTTTGGTTATGTTTTCTGTGATAACCAAATAAAGCCACTGTATTTAACAAAACCGCCATTACCTGAAGACTTAGCAAAACCGTGCAACTGTAAAAAAAATTGTGCAACGAAAGCTTGTTCGTGTCAAAAACTAAACATGACGTGTGTGGCATTATGCGGATGTTTAATTGAATGTTGCCAAAATTTCATGTAAAAACTAGTTAGATGTACAAACTATAATTTTATGTAAAAGTTTTCTTAATAAATGAATATTACTATTAAATATTCATAGTGGAAAAGAATTACAACCATAGAAAAAATTGAATACATATATATTGCGTACTCTGTTTTAAAATAAAAACCAGGTGAGTCAACTATGCTCATCGTAACAGGTAGAAATTTCTCTTGAATTACGGCAGGTATGTTTGTCTTCTTTTATATTATTGGAAAAAAGTGAGAAAAATTTATTTTTTAGACAGCTCTTGGCAATGATTTTTTTTGTGGATGGAACATTTCTATTAACTTCAATGAATAAAAAAGTTATCGAAAGTATCTAAAAAAGTAAAAAAATAAAATCACATGATACAAAACTATTAATCGGCAAATATAACAAAGTGTTATGAAAAATGTTAATAATAATTTTTTAAAACTTATTACCGCTGAAAAACAGCAAAAAATTGATTTAGCGCGTCATCGGGCTTTCTCTTACCCATCTTATACATTGAGTTGGAAGTGAGATAGAAGTACTTCTCTCTAAAAGTACACGGGCGTAGGAAGCATATTGTTATAACGTACAAAAAACATAACAACAAACAAAATTTTGAAAATTTATTTAGGTAATTTTGTTTATTATATTTTGAATATTCGGTAAAAAATTTAAAATTATAGCATTTTAAATTTTAAGGTATATTATTTAATTCAAGAAAATTAGAATTTTCGTCAATTTTGGATTTTAAAAAATTCATAACAATTAAAGGGTTGAAGATACGATGATGGGCGTAAAGACTTTTTTTATTCGAAATATCCTAAAGAATATAAAAAATTAATTCATTGCAAAAAATGCATTTTGTCTGGCTTAATTAATTTTTAGTTGTTTAACATCAACAGATATCGAGTGTCATATTACACTTTTATAATCAGGAAAGCCTTCCGGACATTTAAAAAAAAAATATGAATTAAAACAATTTTGCAAACGAATGCGCCAGTATGCTCTGGTCTATATGTGATCCTATACAATTTAAATTCAATTAGAAATTGTATCAAATCTTGTACAAGAAATTGTAGTCAAAACAGTCTTAAGACGGATGCCCTACTCCACTGGTTCAAATGAAAACAATATATCTTAACCTAAAAATACTAACCGTTAAAAGGATAAATTTCGATTTAAATGATCTACCTTATTGAACACTACACATGCATGTACCATAATTCTTTATATTTCTCACAAAAATAGTATTTTATAAATGAATAAATTAATAAGTCACACAGAAACTGTCAAAAACACAAAATAGCTGTTAGACCCAATTGGCAACGTTGCGGCTGGTTACGGTAACTACATTTCATTCATAAAAATAGGTACTAGTTGTAAATTCGTAAAATAAGATATTCAGCGTTGCCGTATTTACGGAGTTCTTTGTAACCCTAATATTTTGTTTAGATTAATATTGATTTTTAATAAAAAAATTAGCTTATATTAAAACTTTAAAGAATAATTTGATTAAAAACATATTTTTATTTATATAATACAAAATTATAGTTATAGGATACATCAAATTTTATTTTTCGATAGTAATTTCTCCAAATAATTTTTACAGACTGATAAAACCGACAAAGACGCAATAAACGAGAATCTGGTGGGAATAATGATTTGCCACATAAAAATGTAAACAATTTGGTCTCTTAGTTGTAATGTCTTTGATATAAATAATTATTAAAGATGTCATTGTCCCAATATCCAATTGAATGAAGGCCAAATAGACAAAAAACGAAGTAGGTCATTGCAAGAAAGAGACATTGTGTGGTATCTCCCACATACTTTGATTTTCTTTTCTCCTTATTATTTAAGGTTATTGGAAATAATTGTTCACTTTATACATATAGGTAAAGCTAATGAATAATGGATTTGCTCTCATTTATTATTGTTCTCCATGTCTCAATGTCTTGTTCTATTCATTTACATGTCTGTTTGAGGTTATCTTTAGTTTCTTCGTTATCATGTTCCACTGCTAGGATAGCTATATCGTCAGGATAAATAGCGAACATCACATTGTGGAACACTTGTGGTAATATCTTTTATTGTAGAAAGTTTCCTTTTATTTGTATATGTTCTTAAAAATCGCTTAAAGGACTCAATCAAACTTTTTTAAAAATGGTCTCACAAGATTCGAATGATCATATTCAAGCAATTTTAAAAAAATTAAAATTTTTCATGATTGCCTAGACTCTTGTGATATATTTTAGGATTTAATTTCTATGTGCTTCGTTCTCTACCTTATTTTACGTATTTTACTTTTAATGTTTTCCAAGAACTATGTTCTTTCAAATTTAAGTTCTCACATCGTGTGTTAGCCATATAAATAATGGTGTCTATGGTGTTAATGCCGATAATGATGATCTAAAGAGGAAACTCACATAAAATAGAAATTTTTGTTGAATCGGGTTATCGTGCTAGTCACGGTATAGGAACCACGTTCTTTGTCTTAAATCAAGTGAAATGATATTAAATATACCAAGTACTTTTATAATTACAAAATAAATTGACGAAGATCCATTGCTTATTAAAAAACAACAACAATCTTAATTAAAACTTTAATAAAACAAAGTTGAAATAACATTACAAAAAAAAAACTAATGGTTAATATCCCTTTGAATAGCTTGCTTCCGAATTTTCTCTTCGATTTCCCAAAATTTTTGTTTAGTTCTGAACTTTTCTAACGTTATTTCATGAAGTTCTTTTTCAGATGGCAGATCTCCTCCATATTCTTTTGGTAAATATTTTTTTGGTATTATTTTATATAGTTTTTCGGGTGACAGATCGGGTGAATGAATTTGTAACTAAAAATAAATATATGACGTTTAATTCTAATGCATACAGAGTTTCTATTTAAATCTGGAGTGGCTATGGAAATTTGACACATTTGTGACCTTTTGACAGTTAAAATGGTTGACTTTAACACTGGCAGGATTACTATATTTAACATTGGAACGACATGTCAAACAATACCTACCAGTGGGAAGGGCTCGTATATCAAAGCGGGTTGCAACATAGCCTTGCATTTTGGACGCTATTTTTATTTAAGATAGTAGTCGCCAAGCCCGCAAATTTATGAAAAATGTATAATCGTTTTTTTTTAATAGTATTTTCATTGAATTCGACACAAAACATTTAAATTTAATCCATTATTCATGATTTTACGTATTGTATATAGAAACCATCGCATGTCGCAACCTCTTGGATATACCAATTCTTCTCACCGACAGTTATTTTGTTTGGAATGCCCAATAGAGTGGGTAATGTTTAACTTTTATAAGCACCCCGGATTTAAAAGGTAACTGAACGCATTTGAATGACTATAATAGTTTTACTCATGATTCAAAAAATTACAGAGGTATGATACTTATTGTGGTATGGAGTGGCTGATTGGCCATGAGCACATTAAAATTTATTTTCGCGGTGGTTTCGATCAGCTGATACCTCAAATTCGTAGAAGACACTCTTCCACACCACAATACGTCACCGTGACGTAGTATCAATCGGTGTAGTATCATACCTTCTTTTTATAGTATCATGAGTTTGACCATGGTGTAATTCACATCTCAAGCCCATTGAACGTGCTTAAAACATTAGATTAAATAAATAAATTTGTTATTCACAGAAAAATTTTAACTCACCATTGACATTAATTCGCTCTTCATAAATACTTTAATAATTGCCATAACTTTGTCTATGAAATAAACGGAATTGATGAGGTGGATCATTTTCATCCTCATGGGAAATCCCTCTTGAAGAAACGTTAAGTATTTTTTAATTGCTTGTATTTTCAATTTTGTCAAATGCATCAGTCCTAACTAAAATAAACAGGTTTTGTTTAGGAATAAATCGAGTTAGCAATATTGATAATATTACAAAAATTATTTTTTTTCTTTACTTTACTTTTCTGTCATTGGAGATACAAAACAATCGCAAACACAAATAGAAAAATACCATTATTATAAACGTCAAGGCTTGAAAGAGTTGTTAAAATCGTGATTCCACCCCTGTAAATGTCAAAAATCGTAACTATTTGTAAAAAGTAAGTTCATGTCCGTTTTTATGAGAAAACTGTATATTATTGGTTTATTAATAATTTTGTCTAGTTAATATCAGCTTCTATTATACAATTTGCAATATAAAAATAATATATGTTTTTACTAGCTGACCCGATCCCGCCCTGCTGGATTTTCTCAAATCTCAATAATTAAAAGTGAATAATATTTATTAATTTTGAATAATTTTTATAAATTTTTATTAATTTTTATTAATTTTTATTAATTTTTTTTAATTTTTATTAATTTTTATTAATTTTTATTAATTTTTATTAATTTTTATTAATTTTTATTAATTTTTATTAATTTTTATTAATTTTTATTAATTTTTATTAATTTTTATTAATTTTTATTAATTTTTATTAATTTTTATTAATTTTTATTAATTTTTATTAATTTTTATTAATTTTTATTAATTTTTATTAATTTTTATTAATTTTTATTAATTTTTATTAATTTTTATTAATTTTTATTAATTTTTATTAATTTTTATTAATTTTTATTAATTTTTATTAATTTTTATTAATTTTTATTAATTTTTATTAATTTTTATTAATTTTTATTAATTTTTATTAATTTTTATTAATTTTTATTAATTTTTATTAATTTTTATTAATTTTTATTAATTTTTATTAATTTTTATTAATTTTTATTAATTTTTATTAATTTTTATTAATTTTTATTAATTTTTATTAATTTTTATTAATTTTTATTAATTTTTATTAATTTTTATTAATTTTTATTAATTTTTATTAATTTTTATTAATTTTTATTAATTTTTATTAATTTTTATTAATTTTTATTAATTTTTATTAATTTTTATTAATTTTTATTAATTTTTATTAATTTTTATTAATTTTTATTAATTTTTATTAATTTTTATTAATTTTTATTAATTTTTATTAATTTTTATTAATTTTTATTAATTTTTATTAATTTTTATTAATTTTTATTAATTTTTATTAATTTTTATTAATTTTTATTAATTTTTATTAATTTTTATTAATTTTTATTAATTTTTATTAATTTTTATTAATTTTTATTAATTTTTATTAATTTTTATTAATTTTTATTAATTTTTATTAATTTTTATTAATTTTTATTAATTTTTATTAATTTTTATTAATTTTTATTAATTTTTATTAATTTTTATTAATTTTTATTAATTTTTATTAATTTTTATTAATTTTTATTAATTTTTATTAATTTTTATTAATTTTTATTAATTTTTATTAATTTTTATTAATTTTTATTAATTTTTATTAATTTTTATTAATTTTTATTAATTTTTATTAATTTTTATTAATTTTTATTAATTTTTATTAATTTTTATTAATTTTTATTAATTTTTATTAATTTTTATTAATTTTTATTAATTTTTATTAATTTTTATTAATTTTTATTAATTTTTAATAATTTTTATTAATTTTTATTAATTTTTATTAATTTTTATTAATTTTTATTATTTTTTATTAATTTTTATTAATTTTTATTAATTTTTATTAATTTTTATTAATTTTTATTAATTTTTATTAATTTTTATTAATTTTTATTAATTTTTATTAATTTAAGTTAATTTTTATTAATTTTACCTTAATTTTTGTTCTCTGATTCTTTACTATATAATACCATTCATTTCACTTAATGCTATAAAGATCTAGTAGGCAAGCTTGTCATGTATGTCATTGTTTATGTACTGTAATGTTGAGTGTAATGTAAATTATTGAAAGAGTAAAACCAAATTTGGTAGATTTTCACACTTTTATTTTAAAAATAAAAATTTTTAAACAAACACTAACATGACATATGTTTCGAAGTACAACTTCTTTTTCAAATGAAGTTGTACTTCGAAACATATGTCATGTTAGTGTTTGTTTAAAAATTTTTATTTTTAAAATAAAAGTGTGAAAATCTACCAAATTTGGTTTTACTCTTTCAAAATTAAATGGATTTTCATCAAGTAAAGGCCGAAACAATAAATAATGTAAATTATTGAGCTGTCATATTTTATTAATTAGTGACATAATCATAATTTACAGAAATTTTATGGATATGCGATATACTATTCTTAAATAAATGTTAAATAGTTAGATATTATTTTTACTGCACATTAAAATATCTTCATATACATAATAATAATTGTAAAATAAATAAAAAACATTAATTTCTTTAATTTAATTAGAAATAGTGGATGTAGAAAAAGTATAGTACATAACACGAGTTTGGGGAAAATTCCTACCGTAATGGGCTACTTATAGTTCTTGTTACGTAATTGTACTATATTACTTACTCCTTTCATATCGATGACTACGATCAAACCGCTAGGTGGATTTTTTTCTTGAGCCACGTCCATTAACATATAGGAAGCTTTCATGATTGGGACTAAATCGAAATTTTTGTAATTGCTATCGTTTATATTAAAATAATGGTATACATCGTTTTCTTCTGTTCTTACTGGTATACTTGACATGTGTCTAAAAAATAGGTAAGTACCTATATAGATACAGTTGGAATAACGAATTCCAAGAACATAACATATGATCCGCAAAAAAACGTTTGTAAAGTAGGCCATGACCGACACAGACATTTAGCCTTAAAAAAGAGAATCTGTCTAAATTATATTCAGTTATGGAGCTGCTGCAGGATTTTGATCACTTTTATTATATTGAACTTTTTCATTTTAATTTACATTTTGCAATCTTGAAAAACAAAAAAAAAGCTAAAACTAGAATGAAGATATACCTATAATGCTTGGGATTTTATATTATACTCTTCACAGTTTAACAGACCCCATTAACCGTCATTTTCAATCAGATTTTTTTTCAGAAGCAATAGGCTTCATCCCCTTATAAAGCTTCTTTTTCTGAAGATTTCAATTTGATATCGTTTTTTGTTTCTGAGTTAGGATTTTTTCAATATTTCAACCCCCTTATCTCCCAATTTTTATTTATTTATTCCCTTATAGAACTTGATTTTTACTAAATATTTCATTTTGATATCGCTTTTGGTCTTTGATTTCTATTTTTATTTATCTCAACCCCCCTTGACCCCATTTTAATCAGATTTTTTTAAGAAAAATAGGTTTTGTCCCCTTATAGAGCTTGATTTTTGCCAAAAATTTCAGGTTGATATCGCTTTTCGTTTTTTATTTGATATTTTTTTAAATTTTAACCCTCCTTAAACCTCCCCTAAATCCTCCATTTTTAATCAGATTTTTTTTGCAAAATCAAAGGGCTTTTTTCCCTTATAGAGCTTGATTTTGCTAAAAATCTCAAGTTGATATCATTTTTCGTTTTTGAGTTAGGACTTTTTTAATATTTTAACCCTCCCTTAACCCCCAATTTATTTAGATTTTTTCAGAATCAATAGGGTTCATCTTCTTATAGAGCTTAATGTTTAATAAAAATTTAATGTTGATATATATCGCTTTTCGTTTATTGATTTATGATTTTTTTTTTAATTTCAACCCCCCTTTACACCAATTTATAATAATACTTTTTTAAAATAAATATGCGTTGTCCCCTTCTCTGTATATGTATCTGTAACGTGTGGAGGGTGGGTTACCCCACGGCACTTATGCCTCATTAGGCCCATTGTGCATCCTCCTGAGAAGATAGGAACCTCCTAGCTCGTGAGCTAACCTACATATTTAATGGAGTTGACAATGTCGCCAAGAGGTGCTTCTTTTATATCGGCCGGTGTTAGCCGATACTCGCCGAACACAAATCTAATAAATAAGAGCGTCGAGCAATCGTAAAGGATATGCTCGATGGTCTCATCTTCTTGTTCGCATCCTCTGCAAAGTGCGGATTCTGACAGCCCCATGATATGGTTTGATATGGTTTGCTGCTTTCTTGGCTAGTGAATCAGCAAGACGGTTACCTTTCGATGTAGCGTGACTTTTAATCCATTTTAAGGTGACCACGTTGTTGATGGATACTTCGGCCAAAGCTTCGTGACATTCTAGTACTAACACTGAATAAATTCGTGGTCTGTTCAGGGTGAGTAGTGCTTGTCTGCTATCTGTATAGATGAGCATGTTCCTTCCAGTGATATTGTTTCTGGTTATTTCTTTTGCTATATGAGAATCCCCGTTAGCTCTGTTTGAACTACACTGGCACTATTGCTCACAGCCCATTTTATGTTTAGGTATAAGAATCTGGAGTATATTCCACATCCTGAGCCTTGTTTTGTTTTAGAACCGTCGGTGTAGATATGAATCGTACCTCCCACTTCCGGCTCTTCTATTTGTTCTATTATAACTTTATATGGCTTATGGAAGATATATTTGGGTGAGATGGAGTCTATGTTAGCTTGAAGCAGTGGGAGCGTATACAGCGCCTCCTGCCAAAAGTGACGTCTTGCTTCACCAGATCCTACATCAGGTTCTATTCCGACCGTGCGGAGGCGTGTCATTATCGTCAGAGCAACCTCCTTGATATAAATATCAAGGGGAGTGACACTAAGAATGACTTCCATGGCTCTAGTCGGTGTTGTTTCCATGGCTCCTGTTATGTTGAGACATGCTGTCCATTGAATTTGTTCTAGTTTACGGATAGCTGTTAATTTTTGGGTTTTGGGTACCCAGACAACTGCACCGTATGTTAGAATAGGTCTTATGATAGCCGTGTAAGTCCATGCAACGACTCTGAGGGAGAAACCCCAGGTGCGCCCCACGGTTCGGCGGCATTGTTCATAAGCAATGTATGCTCTTTTAACTCTGTTTTCTAAATGCGAGTTCCATGTTAACTTGCTGTCAAAGGTAAGACCTAGGTACTTCACCTCTGTTGCAAAGTTTAGTTTTGTGTTTAGGATTTCTGGAGGTTTTAATTCCATTTTCAACCTTTTTTCTTGTGAAAAGGACCATTTCTGTCTTCTTAGGATTGATAGACAGTGAATGGTCCTTGCACCACTATTCTATAATTTTTAGAGCTACTTGCATTCTTTCGCAGAGTATGTTCTCAAAATTCCCTATTTGCAGAATGACCAGGTAATCTGCATATGCTATTGTGTAGTGACTGTCATTATTGAGGCGGCTGATGAGGGTGTCGAGGACCATATTCCACAGTAGAGAGGATAGCACCCCTCCCTGTGGACATCTCCTCGCAACCAAGCCTCTTATATTCTCATTTTCTACACTTATGTTTACTGCTCGCTTTGAGAGCATGTTATGTATCCACCCACTAACCATTTGTGAAACATTCCTGTTAGTTAGTGAGTGTATTATCTTTGGGAAGGTGGTTTTATCAAAAGCACCTTCTATGTCTATGAAAACACCGAAGGCGGACTCCTTATTATCCAGGAATCTTTCTATCCGGTCAGCAACTAGATGAAGGGCTGAATCAGTAGATCTACCTGAGGTGTATGCATGTTCGTTTGGGTGTAGTGGTGTTGTTGTAATCACCGCATCCCTTATGTTCCTTTCGCATAGCCTTTCCAATGTCTTCATGGAAAACGATGTCAGACTAATTGGTCGGTATGTTTTTGGGACAGCGTAATCCATCCTTCCAGGTTTGAGTATAAACACCACTCTATATTTTTTGGGGATATACCTCAGAGCCAACGAGGATCTGAATATACCCACCAGGTGCGGTGTGAGTTCTTCCAGACCACACTGAAGTAGGGCTGGATAGATACCGTCAGATCCTGGCGATTTAAATGGAAAGAAGCTGGATATTGTCCCCTTATAGAGCTTGATATTTGGTAAGAATTTCAAGTTGGATATCATTTTCCATTTTTGAGGCGGAGAAAAAACGTGACTAAAAAACTAAAAAGATGTAGTCTTTAAAAAAATCATCCCATTGTTAATTTAATTTATTTAGAATCCAAAAGAAACTTCAACATTATTGTGAATCTTACTAAAAATCGGTATTATCAAAATACAAATATAAATTCTAATTATCCCACGAAGACATCGTGTAAAGTGATTGCAGAACTAAACAACGAAAGGCAAAATAAAAATACGGCAATACGCCCTTTGGGGGAAATTTGTATGAGATGTCTGTAAGTAAACCTTTTTCCAGTGTTGCCAACAGTAGCGGAATTTTGCTACGTAAGCGGATTTTTAGATCAGTGTGACAAATAATTTTAAATGGGTTCCTATAGCAAGTGACACCTCGTTTGAAAGGTATTTATAAAATCTATTCAACCAACACAATTGTGTTTGGGTCTAAGATTGTTTTGACATATGAATGGTCTAATTCTAATATCCCAAAACTGCATGGATTGATATTTTACAGGAGAAGCTTTTTTTAGTTTAATAGTCCTATATATGATTGCAATATGGGTTATTAGAATAGTCAAATTTCTCATGTAAGTATTGTCCGAAGCCAATACGGGGTATTTTAGCTAATTATATACAAACGAATGTCGCGAAAGAGTGAAATTTATATTTTTTGCAGGTACGGGGTATTATAATTAGACCATCGATATTAAATATTAATACTAAAATTTCAATTTAGCGTATAATATAGATACAAAAACTCGGCGTTTTTTTAACCCGCTTTACTTTTTGTTTCTTTACGTCGTTTCAATCCTTGAGTTTTTAAACGAGACGTTTTAGTATCTAAATAAGTGCAATGATAGTAGGTAGGTACTGTTAAGTTTATTTTTTTCAAAACAACTTATTTATTTTAATTTAACAACTATATTCAATAAAACACTAAATTCATTTATTTATACTTAAAACTAAGATGATATTTTAATTACTTACATTATTTTATATTTACAATATTTATCTTCAACTTAACTACCATCGATAAAGTCGCGCTATTTATATGAAAATTACGCGTACCGGACCTGTCCAGAAATCTTTAGTCGTTTTTAAAACTCTTTCTCTACGAGTCGGCACGTGTGCAAAATACCTTTCCAGTAACTTCTCATAGGAGTCTAAAAAAGATTAGGACCGGACTGATTGAAAATGGCTCACTCGACAGTAAGTTAGAAAACAAAGTAGCCGCTATTTTGATAAATGAAAAAAAAAAACCATGCAGCGGAATGCACTTTTAATGAGGGATGTCCTGATCGCCCTATATCAAGGACTTATTTGAGAGAAAGTTTAAAACAACTGGGAGTGGCCGACCAAAAAATTGATAAAATTGCAGAAATGGTAGTAAACCCTAATTTTTCACAACCCAAGTTGCCTCTATCTGTGAAGTTAGTTAAAGTGTGCACAATGTGTTCGAAAAGCACAAATTTCACCCCTAAAAATTAAAAATGAACTTTTAATGACGACCCCGACAGCAGACTAAAATTCTGTTGTTAAAAATACCTTTAACCATTGAGTAAGGAAATTATACTCCTTTACTCAATGCTTTAACATAAGTATCAGAATCGGGGCAATTATTCAAGGCCGCTCCTGTTGAATTTACTTAAGAATAAATTCAGGACAAGGTTGGCAAATCCAATAAAATAAAAATAACTAACGCGTTTATTATCCAATAGAAATGCACGAATTCAGCATCGATAATATTGA